AAGACGTGGCGAACACTCTGCCTAGGAAGCATTACGAATTTCCGACCGCTACAACGATGATTTCGGATCCGTGAGGCTCATGATACCCGAAGCTCTCTTCGATCTTAGCAACGTTAAGGGTGTGGACGCGAGTATTTTGGGAGTCGGCCCTTTTGTCACCACGAGTGTCGGAATGTGCGACATGGACATCAGACCAGTACGTATTTCCGAAATGAAATTTACATTAAATTTATGCATAAAGTTTATTTTGACGATTAAATAACCTTCTTGAGGCATTTTGAATCGATTTGACGAAATCTTTGATCACATACTCGTGCCATAAATTCTGTCTCTAAGAAAAATAAATTTATTTTATAATTAAAATAAAAAGCATATAAAATATAGATATATCTTATTAAATTGAACAATTACAGTACAAAAATAATGATAAATAATAAAATGTCTATCTTTTGCCTTCATAAATTTCTTCAAACCATCGGACTTCAAACTCTGTACATACCTATGCATATGTTATATTAATATTTTATTTATACTATTAACATATTAATATATCATTATTATATATTTATAATATTTGTAAAATAAGTAAATCTCTGTTGCAGACTCTGTATGGCAGCGTGGTGGTGACTGGCGGCAATTCTTGTCTTCAAGGATTTAGCGAGAGACTGAATCGGGACTTGGGCAGTAAGATCCCTCCGGTAAGCACGTTCTGTACTCACACTAATCTACTCATTACAGAGTTTCGGGTCTCTCGATTTATGACGACGCAATTTTTTTTCGCAGAACATGAAACTGAAAATAATCAGCGCGAACAGCTCGAGCGACGTTATGGTGCCTGGATCGGCGGCTCAATCCTCAACTCCTTGGGCTCGTTCCAACAAATGTGGCAGTCGCGTCATGCGAGAGATGATTTTTCACGACAAAGCATCATACACATTGCTTTCTCGCAACCTCGCGCACTTGTAATGAGCAAAAAGTGCGATTAATTAAAAGCATCCTGTATAACACATAAATCGCGAGTATATAACCAATGTTTAATCGACAACTCGCTTAGACGCCTAATTAGATAGACGTATAAATATAACACGCGCGGCTTATAAGAATACAGTTCCTAATTGCTCCGTGAATCTTCCATACATCGTATCTTACAATTAGAAGAGAAGAATCACCTCTTCCGTTAAAGCCATTCTAAAACAAATATAAATGGATACAATTTATCGCGTAGTAGACTTTTATTATATTTTATCAGATATTTATTTTTATTAGATATTTATTTGCTGT